CCTTTTAATTATGTTTGAAATTATGAACATTGCTCAACATCATGAAAATTAAACCTTATTTTCAATAAGCAATCCTGAAAAATATTTGGGGGTGCTTAACTTTTTTCCAGGTGTATATTTAAAATGGGTGGTTTGAGTGAATTATATTCTTAGTATTAAAGCCAAATTGTTTCTGAGTATAATTAACTTTATACAAATTGAATAATGTATTACTTCAAAATTCTAATGTAATAACTCAAACATTTAGAACTTAATATATTTAAACTTTTTTTTTACTTCCAAAATATATTTTTTCTCTTAAATTATAACAAGTGATGTTTTGTGTATTTTTAATTACTGTTTTATCCTATTTCTGAGTTATGTAAATTACAATTGAATGTCTATATTACTTTTAGTACAACTCTGCTTTATACAAGACTTGTGTAAAAGTTTTTAGTTTTATTTTGAGCCAGTATGAAATATCATTATTTCATTCTCTTATCAAAGCTAAGACTTCTAAATATTTCCTTATCTGAACTGAGCCTGGCCTAGTGATGAATATTCTGGACTGTGAATCTGAGAGCCTATGGTTGCATCTTGTAACCAAAAAACATTCCACACTAAAGGCCCATGGATGTTCTATGAAAGTGACTGCCAAATCCTACTTTTCGATTTAGAACAGCCCAATAGTTGGTGGTAGGTGCTGTTGACTAGCTGCCTGCGCTCTAGTCTGTCAGTTTAAAATTAGAGATGGCTAGATCATGTCGCCCTTTTCAGCTTTAAACAAATATCCAAAACTATTTTTTTTTTTTCTTTTCATTGAAGCTAAGACTGTCATGAAATGTATTTTTTTAATTATTATTATTATTTTATGTTGCTTTTTTCTAGTTTCTGTGTAAAATATTAGTATTGTCTTTGTTTAAAGCTAAGACTACTGTATGAATGCAATCCCATGGCATATCTAATTGAACAAGCTGGAGGAATTGCAAGTACTGGTAAAATTCCAGTCCTTGATGTTGTGCCTGAAAAGATTCATCAACGATCTCCCATTTTCCTTGGATCAAGAGAGGATGTGGAAGAAATTCTTGACCTTTATAAACAGTATGAGTAAGGTCAATAACTTCTCAAGCCACATGGTTAATTCAGAGACAGTTTGTCTTTTTTGTTTTTTATTTTTCTGTAAGTGCATTAGATAACTTTAGTTGTCTAAAAGTATACATGTTTCATCAAAATATACCCAGTTGAAGGAGTTGCCCAATATAAGAATTGCAGTTAAGAACATGTGAAATAATATATCACTGCACTGTTGGAAAACTTTTATACAGTGTTGAAAGAGATCATATTATATAGTAAAATATTTTTGGAGTACATATTTTTATATAATTTTGAAGATATGCAAATTAAAAGATAATAATACAATATTTTACTTTAATCGTGTTGAATCTTGTCAATCTTGCATTTCAAGTTTCTTGGTTTTTCAACAAAATATTTGTGACCAATTTTCAAATCTTTTGTACTATTACAAGAACTTATTCAATAAATTTTTTTCAACAAATTGTTTGAAGCTTATTTTAAGGATACTTACATTAATTTGAACTACAATAAAACAGACTGGACCTTGTTAGAACAAAATTGATAATGACCCTCTGACACTAATAATACTCTCCAGTAACCAATAAATATTGGACAAATATACTCGAAATATTACAACATTCTTAAGGCTGTTAATACTTTGGTATATCACAATTTAACATTACACAACTTGACAAGATGGCTATGAATGCAGAAGATGAAGAAGAATACTCGTAAAAATAGACCAATAAAGCTGGACCTCGGTGGGATAGTGGTAAGTATACAGATTTACAATGCTAAAATCTGTGGTTCGATTCCTGTGGTAAACACAGCAGATAACAAATGTGGCTTTGCTTTTAAACAACCAAACTAATAAAAGCTAATACTAAAATACTCTCCTATAAGCCGGCCAAGCTAATCACTGACTTGGACAAAGCCAACGCTTTAGTTCCTGCCTTCCCACTATTTACACAACCCTGCTTTTAACAACAATTGGATAAACACAGTTACTTTATTCATTCAGAATAAGGTATACATATTCCTCTCTTTTCTTTATTTCCAAAAGATACCCTAAACTTCCAATCTGAAAAAAATTAATCCTTTTAAGTAGTAGAAATTAAGATTACCCTAAGAAATCTCAACAATAGAACCAATGGTGATGATTGTTTATTTGTTGAATTTCACACAAAGCTACTCGTGGGCTACCTCCACTAGTCGTCCCTAATTTAGAAGTAACGGACTAGAAGGAATACATCTAGTCAACATCACCAACTCTTGAGCTACTCTTCATTAACGAAAAGTGGGATTGACCATCACATAATAGCTACACACACCGCAGGAAGAGTGTGTATGTTCAGGGACAGTTTTCGATACTGTGACCCTCAGTTTGCTAGTGGAACGCCCTAACCATCAGGCCTGGTGATGACTGTATTCAAAATCTGCCATTGAAAGATATTACCCCACTGCTTCTCCCAACTGTCTATCCTGTCCTATATTACAGACTATGGGTGAACTATTTGAAACAATCCACTATAATCAGGTACGGTATTGGGGAGAGGCTGCTGTCTTGGGCCTGGCGACTTTCTTTTATAATTTTTTTGTTAGATGGCATTAGTAGCTCGTATTTACACTGATATAAGCCTAAGGTGAAGTCAGTTCACCATATTGAATTCACGGGTGTATGCACTATTCTTGAAAAGTTGTATTTTTTATAAAAATTATCTATAGCTTCTATTTTGGCCCACCTAGCCTTGGGCGTCGCACTTGCTAAAGCCGGCCTTGACTATAATTATGTTTAAAATAGCACAACAAACAACTAGTTACAGACCTATTGGCTTAAAGTTGCCTTTATAAACTTTCAGAAATATTTATAGTAGGTCGAGTTGTGTTTTTCTTTGAAACAAATGACACATTCATAGCAGTCCAAAATCGTTTTAGGAAAACACGAACTTCAGATAGTTAATCACATAGTAAGAGTTAGTCTCATTGAGAACACTTACAAAGGTTTGAGCCAAAATTAATCAACTATGGCTTCCTGTCTAGACGTTGGAAAGGTCTTTGATGGTGTATGGAAGTAATATACTTAATACAAGCTCAATTTTCTCTACTCTTCTTAGATGGTTGCCAGATTTCCTTAAAAAAATAGATTAGTCAAGAATGCCATAATCCGTTCACCCTTACTTAAGGAATCCCACAAGGGGTGGTTATAAGCCCCATTCTGTACATCAACTACGTTAATGACCTAAACTTCCTTTCTTCTCGATACACCCATCAACTACAATTTGCTGACGATATAGCTATCTGGTCGACTACCCCAAACCTACAAAATGTTATCACAAAAATTCGGAACAACCTAAACCACTTGTAGAAATGCTGTGCTACTATGTAGGGTTAATTTAATCCTCAATAAAACACGAAAAAAATACATTTTCTTACTCTTTTTAGAAAGATATTTCTTCAGCTTTTGCACAACCTCATACCGTCTTCGCTTCCCTTTCATCCTCATCTTCTCTCGTCTACATCTAACAATCAAAATATCTCTATTAAACTTTCTTCTATTGTCGAGAATCACCCTCCTGTGATTTTGTTCAAGAGGGGTATTTCAGGTTATCCTGGATTCATCGAAAATCCTAACACCAATCAATTAGTGTGTTCTCAGCAGCAGTGCATGTGTGTAAAGAGATCCAGACTGATAACAAACACTGCCAGGATCCCAACATTTACTTCTCTTACTTAGTGATTAATGTGTCAGCTGAAATCCAGACAAAAACAGTTCACTGCAGACTGACTTCAAGCCTCGCAAAGTATGATTAGAATCACTTTTAGAACACCACTACAGTTAACCTGTAAAATATAAACCATTGTCGATGACGAGGAACCCACTTTGAAACTAATAATGGCTGGAGACTGCTTGAATGGGTAATGAAGAAAAACTTATATTAAAGTTTTTCTTCATTACCCATTCAAGCCGTCTCCAGCCATTATAAACCATTGTCGATAAACGCTCTTATAATATGGACTTGACCAGGAACCTGGATAATATAAACCACTGTCGACAAACGCTCTTATAATATGAGCTTGACACAACTGGCAGGCCTTAGCTTTCCAAGTGAAGCAACAGCTCAGAGCTGCAAATGGATGACAAGTCAGTCAGAAATGGACTTCGTAAGGTTGACCTTTATTCTAGGTGTTTAATGGAGTGCGCTTCTCTAACCAACTACCAAAAGAAAGCTCATCTTTGATAGTGTTAACAGCAAGAGTATGAATCAAATGACATGGGAGTGAATTTCTTGTAAACAGACGAATCAAACTGCACATTGCAGCTCGAAAAAAAAAAATTATATACATTTGGAGAGTGTCTGGAACTACATCCAATCCCAGTTTTTTCGGAGTAATAGTAGTGGTACACTGGTCTCAGCAAGTATCAGTATTGGAGGCCAAACATGGCATGAATACACAATGAAATAGGGTGCAGTCTTACAATCTTCACTGTTGCCATAGTCGGGTGCAGTTGGTCAGAACTTCCTTTTAATGGATGAAAATTTAAACGTTATAAACGCAGATCTTGTTATCACCTTCCTTAAGTAAAGGGATATTGAGCAAATGAGTTGGTCAACAAACTCACTAGATATGAATCCAGTTAAATATGTATGAGATGATCTGGGAAGACACTTAGCAACATGTGTTTCACCTTTGAAGTGTTTGAGGCAATCACTCACTTCGTTCATAAACATTTCTGATCATATATTAGACTGTAAAGTGTGCGGTACCAAATGAGCAGAAGATATTTATTGGGTTAAGTTGATTTTTGAGCTTTTCCTATAATTTTCAGATACAACAACTTTGAACTCGAAACTTTATACATAGCATACTGCCCCCCCCCCCCCCCCCCCCCCCACACACACACAGAATATAATCAAAGACAAAAAATCGTAAGAGCAATCAGTTTGTTTGTTTGTTTTGAATTTCGCGCAAAGCTACACGAGAGCTATCTGCGTTAGCCATCCCTAATTTAGCAGTGTAAGACTAGAGGGAACTCTTGGGCTACTCTTTTACCAACGAATAGTGGGATTGACCGTCACATTATAACGCCCCCAGGGCTGAAAGGGCGAGCATGTTTGATGTGACAGGGATTCGAACCCGCAGATTGCGAGTCGAGCTCCCTAACCACCTGGCCATGCCGGGCCCAGGTACAATGAAGCAGAAATATTAAATAATTGATGGTAAGTTCTTCAGATCTACGAGAATGACCAGCGTTTATGTCCATTCAGAGGTTGGAGCTATTTTTGGAGAGCCTTCAGTCCTGAAGTATGCAAAAAATGTCTGATCAATTAATATTGATCATTTGAAATAAAAAAACAACAACAATTAACATAATCCCATTCGGGTATTCTTCCAAAACTGCTGTGTATTCTTTTGTAATGCACAGTCCCAGTCACCACTATGGAAGAGGTTCGGCCAACTTAAGAAACTTAGGATAGTCCTAAATCGATATAATAAACTAAGAATACAAATACAATCTGTATAATAGTATTATAATAATAAAGAAAAACTGAAAATAATAAAGCAAGATATATTAAACATTTTAACTAATAATGAAGTAATGAAAGTAGCATTAAATAAATAATACTATATTATTTACTTAGGGAACAGACAAATACTATTTGTTAACCTCAAATATTAGGTGTCAAGAAATTAATGTCGCGTTATGAAACACTTTCATTAACCATCCCCCAAAAAACGTACATCAGGTATAATAGTTAAAGGAACCACCTAAATGTCACGTTAGTGTAGTCTATATAATGTGTAAACTTTAGTATACTCTAATCCCTTATAGTGGTGGCACACGGCGAGACACACATTCAGCATGTAATGCTGTTTGAAAAGGGAAACAACGCCTCTGTAGCTACAAAGAGTATCAAAGAAGTTTATGGAAATGTTTTGAACGTTCGTAAGTGTCAATCAAATTTTGTTCAGGTGACTTTAGCATTTAAAACTGTGATGGCAGGGACAGACATGGAATTGATATTGATGCTCTGAAGACGCTTGTTGAGTCTAGCCCAAGGCAATACGCTCGTGAAATGGCCCTGAAATTGCATGTCTCTCATGAAACAATATCTAAACATCTAAGAATTTTGGAAAAACTCCTTAAAGAAGGTGTTTGGGTGCCTCACGAACTCCCCGATGATCTTCGTTTCCAACGTGTGAACGTTGCTTTGTCTCTTCTGGTGCGTAATGCGCGTGAACCATTTTTGGACAGAATTGTCACCCGTGATGAAAAATGGATTCTCCATGCGAATATTAAACGCCAAAAACAATGGCTCAGTCCTAAACAAAAAACCACTTCCGACCCCAAAACATGGACTCCTTCCGCAGAAAGTGATGCTTTGCATTTGGTGGGACATCAGAGGAGTAATTCATTTCAAACTCCTCAATCCACAGCGAACTGTTAATGCAGAAATCTAAAGTCAGCAACTGGAACGT